TTTTATCCAAAGAAAAAGGCCTAACACTAGTAAACTCATTCATTGCCTTTGAATTGGAACTGACACACAGCTGAACTTTCAGTGGGTTTTCAGAGACTGTGCATCACACAGGAAGACACTGCCCATCTTTTTTTTTTTTTATTCCTTGGAGACACTGATGGATTCGAACCTCCAGAGAAGCGCCACCTTTGGATTAGCAGCACAACTCCCTACAGACTGACTGCTTTCTTCCGAAAGAGTTGGGGAAAGTTTATGCATCCTTTTAGAAGGCATTCTGTGAAATGAATGAAAAATTGAGAATATGAGAATTAGAAATAAACCACCTAAGACTCCCATTCTAGGAGAACACAAGGCCAGGATACCAGAACACAGGTGAAAAGAAATTACATGGTCTCCACAGTATAAAAATGGTGCTAGAACTAAGAACTAAATAATATTTTCTCTAAGGGCTAAAGGGAATCACTAGGAAACGGGTATGGGAGTGGGGGTGGAAAAAACTAAAACAAATAAAAAACCTGAATAGTCTAGTTCTCTTTATTGAACACATAAAAAAGGGAGAGGGGTGTGAAGCTTCAGAAATTTGAGCTCATTCTAGGAGCGGATTACTTTAGAATTAGCTCACTAATTAATATTATTATGAAACATATTTTGAACATATATCATAATCTCTCATAGATACTGTATGAGCTGAAGCAATACAAAAGATTCCATCTTGCTCAAATGGTTCATTTTAGATCTGAAAACCTAGAACTGCTCTAAAACTTAAAACCTATTTAAAAAATACTACATCTATCCAAAAATTTTAAATCACTTAGCTGACACCTCTCAGTGTTTAAGCCAATTATTGTAAAGGGATATTTGTTGTGTACTGTCAAGTCAGAACTGACTCATAGCTGACCCTCTGGTGGGCTTTCAAAGGCAGTTGCATGGGAGGAGATTGCCCATCCTTCTTCTTATTTGATTTACACTTAAGTAAATCATTGTTCACTTTCTGAGGTAGCATAGATTCTGGAACAGTCACTGAAGATTAGGGGGTAGGGGTGAAAAGATATTTGTGGCTATATTGCAGAGACTGGGAAGATTCAGAGCTGTACACAGGGTCACTATACATTGCAAGCGACTCAATGGCACATAACAACAATAATACACCATGACAGGTTTGGAAGCAGAGTGGCATCCACTTCCTAAATAACATGCTTCTGGAAACTCTAAGAACTTTGATAAATGTCAGTAGTTGTAGAGAGGCTTCCGGCCTTTTGGTCACAGGCTCACTATGAGTTGTGCTCAACTCAAAGGCAATCAACAACGACAACAAGTAATACATTGTTGAAGATCATTCAAAAGCAGCTAGAATAGTACATTGACAAGGAGCTGCTGGAAGTACAAGCTGATTTTTTAAGAGGCCTCGGTAACAGGGATATTACTACTGATGTCAGATGGGTCCCGGCTGAAAGCAGAGAATACCAAAAGAATGTATATTAATGTTTTATTCATTATGAAAAGGCATTTGACTGTGTCAATCATGACAAAATATAGCTCAGATTAACCAGAATGAGAATTCCAGAACACTTTAATTGTGCTCATGCAAAATCTATACCTACACCAACAGGCTGTTATCCAAACAGAATAAAGGAACACAGCTT